AGGGTTTTTTTTTTTTTTTTTTTTTTTTCTTTTAGAGGTACTGTGGATTGAACCTAGCCCCTCCTGAATGCTAGGCCAAGGGATCCACCACAGAGCTGTATTCTAACCCTCTTTAGAGGACTCTGATTGGCCACCCTGGAGTACTGTCCCATCATTTCCAGTTTGCCTATCTATCTGTTCTTCCCATAAGCAAAGTGTATGTAGTAGCATGCAGTAGGTGCTCAATAAGTGCTGATAGAATGATGCCTTCCCTCTCCAGTCTCACCCCTCTTGCTGAGTTTCTTACCTAGGCCCTTTGTCTGAAAGGGCACCCAGTCAGCATAGGGGGAAGGCCCCAAGGCGTTGGCACAGCGCACCCTAAGGCTGTAGTTGGTGGCAGGGGCCAAGTCCCGAAGCAGGCAGGTAAAGGGCGGCACAGGGACCACAACAGCCAGGACCTCCCAGTCTCCTGGGGCCCGTGCCACCTTCAGACAAAAAAAAACCGAAAGCACAAAACTGATGATATCAGGTAAGTCTCTGAGATGGAAGACAGGGTAGGCATGACATGACATGGAAGATTGAACAAATGTTTCCTCTAAGTCTGTAGGCAAACACCTGTCCCAACTTGTCCCCAGCACAAGACCAAACCAGGTTCAACCTCTGTATCTCACAGATGCTGTTCCTTTTGCTTGGAATGTCCTGCTGTTCCTTGAGAAGTCTTACTTATTGAGACTGAGTACAAGCCCAGTGGTAGACTGACTGTTCATGGGCGACATCCTGAGTCCAATACCCAGGAAGAAGGAGTGGGAAGTCAGGACAAGTGTCCCTTCTGTTGCTGTTTTTGAGACAGGGTCTCACTACTTAGCTCTGGTTGTTTTGGAACTCACTCTGTAGACCAGAATGGCCTTGAACGCAGAGATCTGCCTGCTTCAGCCTCCCTGAGTGCTGAGATTAAAGTCGTGCACCACTATACCAGGCTCCTATCACTTTCTTGATGTCTCAGCAACTCCAAAAAACTCTGCCTGTCTTTCTTTTTTTTTTCCCCTTTGAGACAAGGTTTCTCTGTAGCTTTGGAGCCTATCCTGGCACTTGCTCTGGAGACCAGGCTGGCCTCGAACTCAGAGATCTGCCTGCTTCTGCCTCCCGAGTGCTGGAACTAAAGGCGTGAGCCACCAAAGCCCAGCAAAACTCTGCCTGTCTACTTGTACTTAGTGCTTAACTGTTTCAGAGTATTGCCATCTCTATTTACTCACCCAAAGCTCAGAGCTTTTCAAGGTAAGAAGAAAAGAGGGGAGCAGAGTGCTCTGTGAACCAGCTTCTCATTTTACAGTTTAGAGGCCCAGGACAAGAGTACATACAAAGGTCTATGTGTGTGCCTAAATCACAACTCAGTAAATAGTCACTTAACATTCAAAAAGACCCAAGTTCAATCCCAGGTATTCCTACACACACACACACACACACACACACACACACACTTCATATACAACATAGTTAAATACTAAAAATCACCCAATACGTCTATTTACTTATTTATTTAGAAATGCTGGGAATCAATGTGGGGCCTTATGTATGTCAAACAAGTGCCATTTCATTGCTGGCCTCGAACTCCCTAGCCTAGTTTCTTTTCATTGTCATATTCTCTCTTGCATTCTCCACTGTTTCCTCTAAGAAGGCCTCAAGTAGTTGAAGCTAGCCCTGAATTCATTCTATAGCCAAGAATATTCTTTAGCTGGGTGTGGTGGTGCACGCCTTTGATCCCAGCACTTGGGAGAGAGAGGCATGTAGATCTCTGTGAGTTTCTCTCTCAGCTACACAGAGACCCTGTCTCGAAAAACCAAAAAAATAAAATAAAATAAAAAATAAAACCAAACAAACAACAAAACAAGTAAATAAATAAGTAAAAAGAGACTATCCTTTAACCCCTGAGTGCTGGGATTAGCAGTGTATGACACAGTGCCTGATTTTAGGTGGTGCTATGGATGGGACTTCCTACATGCTAGGCAAGCACTTTACCAACTGAGCTACATATCCAGGCATCCCCCCATTCTCCTCCACTTTTGGGGGGGAACAGAGGCAAAGTCTTACATAGCCCAGGCTGGCCTTGAACTCCTGATTCTACCTCCTAAGTGCTAGGATTATAGGTGAGTAACACCATGCCTGACCCTATGTTGCTATCTTGACAAGCAAATCATCAAAACCACATGGAAGGTTGGGTTTCCATTTATAATTCTCCAAATTCTCAAATGTGGTAGCTCTGGAAGAGATGGGCCTCAGGAATGAGTCTACACCATGACATCCTTCCAATGCACGGATGTGGACAATGCTGGCTGCTACCACCCACCTAACCCCAGTGGCTGGCATTAGACACAGAAGTACACACATCACAGCAAGGTCTATCTTTGGAAGAATGGGCCAGAGGAGAGGCCCACAAAGACCCTGGACTGTAGCCAGGGCAAGACATTCTGAATGTATAGAGTGTCATGTGGCAGCAAGGATGATCCAGATAAGCTTGTCTCCTTGGCCCTGAAGACTCTGCCCAGGGACAAAGGCCAGGGAGAAGCCAGGGGAGGATCCATCCTGCCTTGGGGACATGATTAGAACAATTTCAAAGGTTCTCACTAAAAGACTGGGAACACAGTGTTTGCCTAGCATGTGCAAGGTCCTGGGTTTATCTCCAGCACAGGATGAATGAATGAATGAATGAATGAATGAATGAAAGAAAAGGGTCTCATTAAACAAGGTCTTCTCTGAGTAAATATGAAACCAAGCAAACCTACAACAGTTCTGAGTTGTACATCAACCCTGCCCACCTTTTCTCTTCACCAGGGTTCAGGACCCCTCTGGTCCTCTTGTTCTCTTGAGGGGCAGTGGCAGGGAGTGAAGAAGTACATCAGAACAGAAAAACCCTTTGAGCTTGGTGGTACAGGACTTGCCTAGTACGTGAGAGGCCCAGGTTTGATCCCTAGCACCAAAGTAGGGAATAAATTAAAAGAAAAATCTTCCAGCTGGGCATTGGTGACACATGCCTTTAATCCCAGCACTTGGGAGGCTGACGCAGATGTATCTGTGAGTTTGGGGCCAGCCTGGTCTACAGAGCTAGTTTCAGGACAGCCAGGGTGGCACAGAAAAACCCTGTGTCAAAAAACAAAAGAAAAGAAAAGGAAAGGAAAGAAAAGAATCTTCCACATACCCAAGTCTGCTCTGGACCTGCTTTCTAGGCCAAAGAAGACACAGGCTTTGAGGCCCTCTATTACTAAGGTAAGGGACAGAAGAGACAACAGCCTGGGCTTTTCCTACCAAGGAACAGCATCTGATTAGTGCTATAGACCCGAAGTCCCAGGCAGGCCTAAGGCCTAATCAGTGGGACAACACTGTCACACAGTGCATCCAGAATGAGCATAGTCAGTCAGTGAGAGCCTGTGTGCTCCTCGGCCTACCTGCACTGTACAGGAGTGGAGCAGGGCTAAACCATCAGCACCTGGCACCCAGGCCACGCTAGCGTTGCGGCTGTTGATTGTTGTCACTGTAATGTTGAAGGGGGCTGCAGGAGGTGCTGTGAACAGAGGGACTTAGTGTCAGTGCCCGGTAAAACTATGAGGGAAGGGAAGATAACATAAGAGTCAAGCCTTGAATTTGTCCTAGGGCCTGAAGTAGCCCCTACAGATGGCTATCTCAGCAAGTCCAAGGCATAGGGATGCATAAACCATTTGCCAGCAGAGAACTGTTATTTATACCCGGGAGGGTGCCTAGGCCGGGAGCAGAAACTACCTACTGGAATAAAGAACCCTGCCCAAAGAATAAGGTGGGGTAGGGGTGTTCTGGAGCTACAAAAGGGAAGCAGGCAGCTGCCGGGCTTCTACAGATAAGTACCTTTGCACACTGGCTTCTCTCCTCCCTCTCTGCACCAACACTTTGGGTACCCTCTGTCATCTGGTAGGCTGCTGCCCTCCCCCTTCCCTCTCTCTATACCAGAGACAGAAACAAGGTTGAATAAAAGCCTTGACCATCTCCTGCTGGCTCCATCCTTCCCTCCCTCTCAGGGACTCTGCTTCGTGATGGGAAATCTGCTGTGACGTCAGGATTCTATTTTTGTCTCTGCTGTGGCAGGGTCTCAGGTGCTCCCACTAGGAATGGGAGCTACACCAATTACCCCTCACCTGGAGATTCCTGCAGAGTTGATGCAAGCTGGCAAGCCAGCCAATTCTACTGCTAGACAGCTGGCTGAGACAGAACCCCCCCCCCCCCCCCCCCCCCCCCCCCCCCCCCCACCCCCCCCCCCGCGCGGCCCCCCCAGCCATAGGCTCTCCGGCAATGCCTTCTTGGTGGCTTTGCCTTCCCAGCAGCTCCAGCCCTGTCATTTTCCAGATGACTTGAGGTTTTGAAAACAAATGAAGCAGCAAAACTGCTTCAGCTGCTAAATTCTTCACAGATCCACTTAGAAATGACAAAAGGCTCCTGTAGATAACAATTCTGCCGTACGCTGGGTCACTCCTGGAGCCAGAAAACCTTAGTCAGTCCCCCAAGCAGCAACCCCCACTGAGTGAGTTTAGGAAGAAGGGACTTCAATTCAGGCTCTCCCCAGAACATTAGAAGTCCCTCTAGCCGAAGGAGGGGTTGGCCAATGGGGTATGGTAGAATGGAAGGAGGACTTTGGAGTCTGAAAGGCTTGGATAGTGCTCTGTTTCCCCATCTGCCGAATGGGAGAATTGAAGAATCAGATAATTGATTTAAAGTGCACAAACACAGTGAGAGCTCAGGGAAATGTTATAGCCTTGCCTCCCACCTCAACCTCATCTCCTGCAAACAGCACAGGGAACCTCCCTTCTCGGGCAACTCCTTGATTGTGCATACCAGAGCCCTTTTGTTTGTTCTCTGCCCTGTCACTGTCACATTTGGAGACTCTTAGCTTTGTAAGACTTAGCTCCTTATGCATGCCTTCTTGTCTACCCAACCATCCTTGATTCTGTGGAGGCTGGGGAAGTGGCTTCTAACCTTTTGTTTTCCTTCCATTCCCGATGGTGCCCAGCACAGTGTGGTGTGTGCAGTAGGAGTTCAGGAGTTCCATTGAGTGTTTATTATTATAGGGCTGGCTGCCTGAGGGTCCTAACCACGCACATTTAGAGAGAAGCTGGAAGCTGCGAACCCAGCCTCCTCTCTGAACAGGTCCTGCCCTGGCACCAGCAGGTCCTACAGTCCCTCCATCAAGATTCAAATCCCTTGGGCCTTCCCTTTCAAGCTCAGACTCGTCTATTTCGCACAGTTCAATCCTCAACTAAGTACACTTAGTTTCACGGATTGGCAAGTCTCACAAGCATGTGATGTATACGCCCAGGATCTTGAGTGTCAGCGAGAGTATGCAAGTGTGACTGCTTGGGGTATAACTGTATAGGGATATGAACAGACTGGGAATTTTTCTAGAAAGACCATCAAGTGAGGAGGCCCTGTATTTTTATGCTGGCCTTCCTCTCCCCTTTACCTTCCCCCATTTCCCTTTCTATAGCCTGAGCTGAGTCTTCTCCCAGTTTGCCAGACACTCCTCCCTAGCTCTGCGTGGGCTGGTTTCTGGCTCCTTCCCTGGGGAGGGGGGAGGATGGGTGCCCCTGATCGCATACAATTCCTCTCTCAGGGCCAGCTGTGCAAGGACCAGACTGCCTCGGGTGAGGAAAAGAGGCTCCAGCACCCTCTGTAAGCACACAGCAGGATCACACCTAATCAGCCCACCTAGCCAGCACAGCACACCTGACTAATGAGCTTAGCAGTGGGATGGCTCACGCACTCTGACACTGGGATTTGCTCTGGACGATCAAACAACAAACTTAGATTTATGCAGATCCCAGCTCTACAGTGCTCCCTCCAGGCAGTGACCCAGCTCTCTCAATGCTCAAAGCCCCCTCCTGTGGCTGCTCACCTGTCACGTTTAAAATAGAGGGAGAGGGGGCAGGTCCTCCAACCTTAGTGGGTCCCCTCCACCAGAAAATAGTTACAGGTTCCGGAGGACCCACTGCCTCACAAGACAGTTGAAAAGGGGCATTGGGCGGCACTGCCACGTCTTTTGGTTCCACCGTGAAGAATGGCACACCTAGGGAGAAAAAAGGAGGGGGAGTCAGCCCAGCCACCTCTTAGCTTCCCACTGTTCAAATCACAAGTTCATTTCCATTTGAAGTGCTCTGTATGGCCGGCACCACAGGACCCTTAGGATTGGGTCAGCAAATAGGCATCAATCGTGGGGAGGGGGCATCGTGGGCTTTGTTTTCATCATCTTCCTTTTCTGCTGGCCCCTTAGGCAAGCAAGGCAGATTCTGCTGCCAGCCCCCACAGTCCCTTCCCAGACCTGCTGACAGCCCTTCTCAGAGTACTGGAGAGGTTGGGGTGGGGAGGTGGGGGGAGGCGCACCCCGGGAGGGGGAGTGGGTAGGAGCTTTAGCAGAGTTCTGCTGGCAGGCCCTGGCTCCTGTTCAGGGCCCTTTGTTACTTTCTTAGTCACTTTGTTTTCCAGGGCTGAACAGCTCTGAGCTCCAGCAGCTGTGGAGCCTCCTACCCCTCCTCCACCCCTCCCCCTTTTGGTAGGTCCTCTTGGCAGAACAAGGGCCAGCTTCTGATGAATGCTTGACAGTTAATGTCCCTCAGAAGGCTGAAACAGACTGGACAGAGATTGTGGGTCCTAGTGGCCTCCTTGGTTCTCAGACATCCAGACTCCAGTAGGTAGAGTCAGTCCCCGATGTCTGGATGAGCCTAGAGCAGTGCGGTCTCAACATGTGGGTCACAATCCCTTTGGCAACTACCTCCAAAAATATTTACATTATGGTTAACATCTGTAGCAAAATTACAGTTATGAAGTAGCAATGAGAATAATTTTATGGTTGGGGTCACCACAACACAAGGAACTAAGAAGGATCAAAGCATTGGGTAGGTTGAGAACCACTGGCCTACAGCCTAGGTCACAGGAGACAGTAGGACAGTCCAGCTTGCACTTCTGTGGAGGTTATAGTTCTTGGTCCATACAGCTGGTACTGCCTCCTCACCTTCCACGGTGAGCCACACTGACTGAGAGGTCTTGGTTTCTGCTCCATCCTTCACCTGGCACCAGTACAGGCCAGCATCAGACCGCTCCACTGACTTCAGGCTGTGGAGACAGGAGGTCAGGCTTATTTCTCAGAGTCAAGAGAGGCAGATCCTTTAATCCCAGCACCCTAGAGGTTGAAGCAAGTGGACTTGTGAGTCTGAGGCTAGACTTGTTTATACAGAGAACGTGAGCTCCAAGCCAACTAGTGCTACATGAAACCCTGACTTTAATAAAAAAGGGGGGTGGGGGGCAACTCTGCTGGGCAAATTTATTGGATTTTCTCATGGCCAGTTTCTGGAAGGTTCGACAGTTTGCCAGATTTTAAAACCACAGACCTCTAGACATCAGCACAGCCTCAGTTCCCAGGCCCTTATGAAATGGGCACAGGCTGTCTGTCCCCCGGCTGTCATCCCACACCACAGTCCTGCACCTGAGCAAGCCAATCCAGTACTGCTCGCTTATTGAGATGGACACCTGGCTTGCATTCTGGACCACAGCCCCATCCTTCATCCAGTGTATGTCAGGGTCCTCCATTCCCTCCACGCTACAGTTGATCTTTACTGGCTGCCCCTGAGAGACTGTCATCTTCACTGGGGCTCCCATGAGCTTCAGGCCTGAGGGGTGGGAAAGAGAATTTGTCAGTCTGATTGATATAGTCTTTGTCTCTGGAACATCTCCCTCTCTCTTCTAGAAAGCAGTTTCTATGCTAAAAGGCTCATTCTCAACCAGTGCCAAGGAAGCAGACAGGATTCTATGAGAAGGAAGGTGGGCTGAACCCAAAGACAAGACCTCTAGTTTTCTGTCTCTACCCAGTTCCTTTAGCACTGAGGACCACTTCCCCATAGCTCCCTGTTGCCCAATCACCAGAAGGCAAACTGACCTGCAGCAGTGGAGACTTGTCACCTCCTGGAGCTGGCACTGCCCTGGGAATGACTGCTCTACCCAACCAGTGCAACAGGCTGCCAGCTCTCTGCCCAGGGTGTCAGTCAAGCCCCAGAACTGCTGCCAGTACCCCTGCACCCTACCCTGCCAAATTGAGGGAGCCTGAGGAAGGGAAGGGGGAGTGCTCCCCTGAAGTGGAGAACATATGGCTACAAAACCACGTCAGATCAAACACATGGCAGCCTTCCTGGCAGCCTCCTGCTCTATTAATACCTGAATGTGTGCTGGGGCGGGTGCTAGAAAAATGGGAGGCAGAAGGGAGGGGTGGGGCCCTAAGCAGGAGCCTTAGACCACCGAGCTACTGTGGCATCACCAAGACCCACCTATTGGAATCTTACCCTCCTCAGGCAAGGGTGGGGACACACACACCCTCCTGGAATGATTTTAAACAGACGGGCAGGTGAGGTATCTGCATAAATGAAATCCAGACCTTTCTCATACAGCGCTTTACTGTGTAACCCTAGGTAAATCCCTGGGCTCTCTGAGCATCAGATACGCACCTCGAAGCCTGAAAACACTTTCCACTATCTTTCTCTTCCCCTCCTTGAGAGACTGATTTAGCAAAGAACTCAGTTTTAAGAAATGCCAACTGGGCGGCTGCTGCCCTGGCCCCTGCCTCTACCCTACCCTCACAGAACAAGGAGAAATAGCCTTACACCCCTCCTACACCCAGTAGCTCCAGATGTGTACAGCGTGAACTTGCGGACAAAGGTGCTGTCCTCCTGCCTCGGGAAAATGTCTCCGTGGCTATGTAGCAACATAAAGCTAATCCTCACAAGGACCGGTAACCTTCACCCAGCCCAAGCTCTTCGACATTCGGGTTTCCGGGAGCGCTAAGGGCCACAGGAACTAGAGTACAGCCAGAGAGGTATTTTAGAATCCGGCACCTTCACAGCCCTGGGTGCTCAAACCCGGACCCTGTAGTTTCAGAGCGGAACCTTCGGGGGTGTGCGGAAGGCAGAATGGGTCTTCAGGACTGGGGAAAAGGGAGCAAACAACTAGAAAGATTGAGGCGGGAAAACACAGTCCTAAGCACCCCCATCTGCCCACACCCCCCACTCCCTTCCTTTGCAGCGAGTCAGCCCCGGGCGCGAGAAAGTTGGGGGCGGGGGCCGCGGGCGGA